TGCCTTTGGGTCACGGGGAAAATGTGAATTTGAAGGAAGGCCAAGCATTTTCCGCTTTCATATTCAGTAGTGGGATTGCCGATTAAACAAAGTTGTATTTACTATATTAATCGACTACATTACTTTTTTTCGTTTACAAGTAGGTTTCGAGACTGCCAGTATATCATATATATGAGATGCTTTCGACGATCTCGTTACAGAATGTGATGTGGACAAATGCCTTGTGTCACATCTGTCCTGTGACCCAAGACCACTCGGAGCAGTTTGGCATAGAGATTAACGTGTTGAGTAAGGCTATATGAAATTCAGTTGATACGCAAAGCCTATTATATAATTGTGGAAAAATTCAACTTCCAGTCCCCTTATCACATTAAACAAACTAGGATGAATACACCTCATTTCGAAAACCATCAGGTAGTCCCGAAAACCTACTTATAAACGAATAAATTTGCATTTATGCGACAATACTTTCAGCCTCAGACAAGTCCACCAAATGTTTTGTATAGAAATAGAGTTTCAAGACTACCAGTAAATCCTTCACCCTCTTTCGTTTTAGATGATAAAGGAATGGTAGAAGAATTTTCCCACAATGATATGAGTAGAGCTGACGTTTTGCTAACGTGCCAAGCTCACCAGCCTCACTGTCACGGTTCGACCCCCGCTCGGGGTATTTATCAGACCAATGCGAGGTGGAGACTGCAGTCCACTTGGGCCTGAATGAGAACAACTTTTGGGAAAATTCGCTGTAATCTTCAGTTCTACTCATATAATTGTGTGAAAATTCTGCTACCAGTCCTTCATCACCTCAAACGAAATAGGGTAAATACATCTCATATAACGCCTACTATGTGCCTGCTTAATAAATGAGATTCTATATGGCATGTGATATCTTCCCTTTCGTTGGTCCATCGTCTACTGCCCTTGCCCACTTAGCAGGGTGCCCTGGAGATGGATCATTTTGCCCTAATTTATGCGCGGCCCTGTCCATCGCCATGCCTACCCGACCAAAGGTGAGAGGGATCACCTCGAGTTCAGCCTCTAAGGCGACAACCCGGTCACCGACCATCTGGGCCAAGTGGTTGTCTCGGCCAAGTGAACCGGTGGCGGCTGAATGGTCTGGCCCATTAGGGGCAAGAAGGTCGGTTGGTTAGGGACTGATTTTGGCCCGGACGGAAAAGGGGTTCCAGAGCCAATTGAATGGGCAAAGCGTTTCAGCTGTCCTCCTCGGCCATACACGCATATGGTCTTGACATCCTCCAGGCCTCGTCTTTCCCCTCTTGTCACACTCGCCGTCTGCTGACCCCAGTCCTCTTTCACTACCCGCAAGTAGGAATACTTAATCACACACTCTCGTGCCCATTCTTTCTCGCATCTGAACACTTCAGGGCCGTGACGATCTTTTGTTTTCTAAATATCCTAATTCTCCTTTCAATAAATGTCTGGCCGACCTCAGACAGCCTCTTTCAGCAATCTCGCTGTCTGGCAATCGCATTCACCCCCACTCTGCCCCACAAGTTAGACACGCTCTTGCCAATTTTATTCATTTTCAACCATATCATTTTGAATTCCTCCACCACCATTTCAATTCCATTCACCATATCACATCCAACTACTCTGCGCCACGCCACACCACGCCATACCACGCCACGCCACACTGTGCCACGCCATGTCACATCACGTCACACCACGCCACACCATGCCATATCGGGTCGTGCTACAACACACCTCGCCCCACTACAATGCACCCTGATACCCTAAGCCAAACCATTTAATCCCACGCCATCCGTCATTTCCACCTTTCGGGATAGTTCCGTCGCTACGGCTGAGTCATTAAGCCTACTTAACAAATCGTACACATACTTTTGCCTATTGACTGTGCTCAAGCATGTCCCTCGTCCAGGTGGACTCAAATCATATCCAATATTGCTCCAAATAAATACACATAGACATGCCTAGTAAAATATTTGTATAACTATATGTCCAAAAGTATATACTGTGTACAGGGACAAACAATTAATTTTCTCAAATTCGCCCAGCCAATACTACACACTTTGCTGAGAAGGGCTAATGGGACTTAGTAGACTAACACTTCGGCGGTGTTCGTCTCAAGGTTGCTGATTTTGCCAGCCGAGCTCAGGCTAACCCAGAAATGTTGCCTTTTATTCTATCATTTGTCCTCTTTCATTTGCCTCAGTGTCTAGTCTGCATTCCCTATCCCTTTATGCCCATATCTACCTTAATCTGTATGTCCTTGGGTTTATTCATATATAAATGCGTACCTAAGTGAACAAATAAATGCATACATATGCACACACTCACACACACACATATAGATGAATATATATATATATATAGAGAGAGAGAGAGATTTGCTTATTTTCACGACGGAAAAATGCTTTTGCCAGTCATTATTTATAGAATTATTTATTTTTGATACGAATGTATTCTTATTACATAATTACTTTCGTCCAATAGGAAAATGGCATGATCCGAGACTTGGGGGCGAGATGACAAGGAATCGGGGTCTTGTAGAAATAGAGTTAAGGCAATTCCAAATTGGGGTGGAGCGAGGCATCCATCCGTTGCCTTGGCCCCGTATGAAGAGCCTATAATATGCATAATGTTATGATATGGCAAATAGGTCCATGTAAGCAGACAAACAGTTTGTATATTGCTTTGCCTAGCAAAAAGGTTGAAAGTAAATATCCTTAAAATGTTGCTACGTACGCGGTTACTTGGATTCCTCACGCCTAAATAAGCGTATAAGTTGCACAATGTATTTGAAGGTAATCTGTCTCGCAAGTATCTTTTCATCAGTACCTTTGCTAATTGAACACAAAACATTTTGAGCCTCAGATCGAAGGTCCCTGGCGCCAATGAGGGACGCCTGTTGCTGCGAATGCTGTGGCAACCCTCTTTCAAGACATAAAGGCACCGTCAAAAATTTTGCTAGAGCTAGAATAGCGCCGTCTTCTCATGAGGCCTGCTTATCGGTTGCATCATGTCAAATCACTATGATTTCGGTTTGAGAGCCAAATCAAGCTTTCTATCTATTTCATCTTGAAAGTCTTGGGCACCAGGTTCTACGATGCTTTGCTGTTAAAGGGTATCCGATTCGATTTAGTGTTTAATCTGATTTACCCACAATTAAATAAAGATAAGGATATAATTTTACATTGACTTAAATTGAATTCTACATTTTTAGTTCATAGGACCTCCAAGGTGCTTACCCAGACTGGACTGTTTCTAGTGAAAATTTGGCAAGTTTTCGTCTATAATTGCACTTCGACAGAAATAAGCGAGCTGGATAACATCCTTGCATCTATTACATCTCAAAGATAAAATCGCTTTAATTAGAAATGAAAGTAAGCTCTCCAACATAAATCAGTCGGAGACGAAACACCTCTACAATAATTAGGATCCTGATTTCAGCTGTTTGTACTAAACGTACTCTTGAATTAACCTCGAAGATCTAACATAGTATTTGGAAAAATTTATTGGCACTTATCCAAGTCGAGGGTTTGACCTGAATTTCTAGGATAAATCTATCCCCATAAGTAGAGAAAAGTTGTCTTTCTATGATTCCCTTGACCTACAATTGTTGTGCTCATTTGTATTTAAAGTGAAAATGTGCAGCGCAGTCTTCTCCGTTCAGAGTTTGAACTTTTCCTGTGATCCTAGCAACGCCTCGAATATGGGTCGAAACCTAATCTTTTACATATTGGTTACAATCAAGCAATCTTCCACACAGCGAAAAATCACCAGAACTTCCTCCTGCAGACGCGGAATTGCAACTGACATTTTTCTACGAATAAGCACTATCTGGTTGGTAATGCAGTTGGGATGCTTAAATCACGATGGAGATGAGGCTTATTCGACTTCGACACATCTCGGTAGCACAAAGAGTGTGGGTGAGGTAGAAACTCAAGAACTTTAAAATCACAGATAATTTCGAAAAATACTCTGGAATAGAGTGAGTATGTCGTAGACCTAGATTCGAATCCTATTTTGTGAGGTGGGAAGACAAAATCAATGTCGAAACTGTATTCTAGCCTGAATAAGGAGACACTTTGGGGAGCAGGGCTATGTGAAATTCACTGGAATCAGGAGGATTATTAAATCCAATGTAAGAAAAATGTTCACTTACAATTCTTAAGCGACCTTATTCAACAAGTACTGATAATTTCGAGACATACTCACTCATAGTGTAGTCCTTTGTAGTCAAAGCCTTTGTTACAATCACACTTTATATACGTATTAGTTTACACAACGAACCTCATCAACTTAACCTAAAGTGTTTCCGGCATTACCCAATTAATGTGGTGGTTTTAAAGACTCTGTAAACTTTTATGACAGAGGACGGATTTTGCACTTCGTTTTAACTATCTCGACTTGTCACTGCTGGTTGTGTGTGTTTACACGCTCATGAACGCACATACGCACACACATATATCTACACTCACTTCACTCAAATTTATTGGGAAGACGGAATAAGCGGGTGATTTCCCTTGGCTTGAAAACTTGAATTTCTTGTAACTAGAGTGTCCTGGTTTGATGATGTCGGTCAAATGTCATGAAAAACAATGGCTCATCAGGTATATACCGGAATCGAAGGATATTGTCTTAGGGATATCCTCAACCAGAACTTTTCTGCGAACCTCAACTACAGTTGGCGAAGAGAAAATCCTCCATCGTTTTCAGGTGTGATCAACCTGTGAATACCTTCATCACGCTATTTCATTCAATTAGGCCTATTTGTTAGTTTCAACTATTGGTATTTACGGTTTTTTACAAGTTTATTTGTTAATTACGGTCAGGATAAAGCACAAATCACAAAAGCAGCTCGGCTACGTAAGACTTGAACACATGACCAAATGTTTTTGTCCCTACTAATTTGAAACTGGAATAGCAAAACATCTTCCTTATTCGGAGACTTTTGGACCGAAAAGTCTCTGAAGTTTGCCCAACCAGTCGGCATCTTGGCTGTGATTAGATATCTGAACAACTCCCCCCGAGAACGAATCGCTCATACCTTATCAGACGCCTCGTTTTCAGCTTAATTGTGAAATTGGTCTCTGTTGACCTGTCACACATCTGACTGGTTGTGTGAATGTAGGCTACACACTCCAGAGATTTGCGGTGCTAAGGCATTAGATGTTATTAAAACTCGCATAATTACGCACATTAAGTGGGCTCTGACTCTTAACTGTGCTCACCATCACCATCATTAGTTCCCGTTTTCTTAGGCATAGCAGAACCGTCATGCTTCAGTTTCCATAGTCTCCCCGTCTGCGACTCTTTTATGCTGTACATGCTCGCATGTAGGCACCCTTTCAACATCATTGGAGCCCTCCAGGTGCATATTTTCGTATGCTTAAGTGTGTTGTGTACATACAAGTGTGTGTGTGTGTGAATGTGCTTCTGGTCGGGGATGCATGAGTTGTGGGGCTTGCGATAGTGCAGGTGTGTCTATTATTGCATGTGTGAGTCTCTTGGTGCGGGTGCACGCATGCGCATACTGCATCCGCCTGCAGTGGAATAAAGCATACGCAAATATCGTGTACTGGGGAGTAATGAATTGGCGGAATCCAGGCTTTGTTAATTAAAAAAGCACACATCGGCTCCTCTCCCCAACTATTCTTCACCTTTGCCTCCACGACACACACACCACGGCAGATTTCGGTTTGTACCTCTTCCATTCAGAGGTTTTAAGCAGAGGTCAAAGGTCCTGGATGTGGGTTTCACTTTTACCTTAAGCGGGTAGGGACACGCAACGGGCGACGTCGCGGAAACAGCTTACGGCCGATTGCCCATATGAGCATGAAGTCGCCCACAACTGGCTAAAGACAACATTCGGTTTTGTGTACACAACAATCATACAGTGGCGATGTACTTATCAGTACAAGGGCTTTTTCAACTTTACCTCTCATTGCAATGGTCTAGTAATACTAATTAAGTTGGGTAGTAATTTATGCATTAATTAGTGTAAATGTATTTGATTTTGCTGAACCCAA